TATATATATATATGGCACATGTCACACACAGAAGATACACAGATATCCATCCAGTGGGCACCTAAGACACATCATGCCTTCTCCAGGTCTCCAGGTTGGTGTATTTGATAAATGTCATACTTACCACCTCCCAAATGTCAACACGTCTTATAGGGGCATCACTGTGCACCTCCCCAATGGGTCAAGGGAAGGACGGATGTCCACGTCTAGGGGACAATGACCCTGTGGGGCAGGGACTCTGCTCTGTGGACTCTGCGGAATACCTCAGGGTTTCGTGGTCCCATGCAACAAGCCACATCTTCTCTGTGGTTAGAGAAGATGACACTTGGGTTTGGTTTGTGTTTAAAGCACAGAGAACTTTCCAGGTAGGTGCCTGGAATGTGCTTAGGCAAATAGAATAAGCACTGAAGATAAAATCCAAACCACTTAAAGAACAGTTGGGCTCCTGCGGTTGCTGCCTGCCCCTAACCCTAACCAATCAGCGTTTGCCAGAATCCCGTTCTTTCTCTGGTTTTTAGGTCTGTGAGATGGACAGGCTGCTCCGTGGACATCTAGTCACTAAACCTTGTGTCTCATCCTCTGATTGGGATTCAAGTCACAGATACATCAGCACTTCTTCCACTGGTCGGAAACATCAACCAAACTGGAACCAGCCAAGTCGCCTCCTTCAGAAGCGAACTCAAAGGCCCTGCTACTCAGCCGGCTATGCGTGACCCTGCTCAGCCTCACCGGTAACTGACACCAGCACGTCCCCAGCATGCCTTCGCCCTCCAAGGCTCAGGAGTTGGAATGGGTGTCGTCGTTCTTTCCAGGACTGTCAGCAACCGCTCCTTCAAACACCCAGCCCCACCCGAGCCTAGGAGCCGCTTCCTGTTTTCTCCACTCCTGTCCCACCCTTGGGGATGCCTTCCCACCCCTCCATTCCTGTCCCTGTTCCTGGTACTGCCATTCACCCCTCTCCTATTCCTCTACTCAGCCTTCTAAAGCACTTGGGGACCCAGTCACACAACCTCCTGTGTATCTAATGAACGGTGGCCTCCTGTCCGTCTGCCCCAGCCCTGTTTCTAGGACCACACCTTATACCTTATGGACACCACAGATCACACACCTCCGAAATCTCTGAAATCATCCTGTCTTCCGCCAAATGACACCCCCACTCCGCCATGCACCCTTCCTCTCCCTCAGCTAACCCCTCCCTGACTCACAGTCCTCACTTTATGCCTATCTTCATGGGCTCTCAGATTCACTTCCCCATGCTGAAACTCCATGATCAGGAAACCCTTGTTCCCCAGCGGGAACCCCAGGGCACACACGGGTGACAGCATCGCCTCGCCACGCTGGGACACTCCAGGAAGCTGGGATCCCTGTTCTCCGGCAAGGCCAGCTTATGACTCTTCTCTCTACTCAATCCTCCTCTGAGTCCTCCACTGCCAGAGGAGGGTCTGACCTCCCACTTAACGCTAGTTCCCCGCAGAAAGTCCAGAATGACAACAGTGCACTTTGCCATTTAAAAACAGAAGCTAAGCCTTCTCTTGAAGTATCTTCACCTGGTGCTTCTTCTTTGATGATTATTCAAGAAATTAGAGCCCAGAGAAGTTGTGTGGCATGGCCACAGTCACATAAGACCCGGGGCCAGAGCTGGATCTCCCATACGCACCTATGGCACTTGCTCTGTTTAAAACATTAGAGAAAGGCCTTCTTTCCTCAGTATGTGGGCTTCGAGAAGCCTCGGTGGGTTGGAAACTGTCATTTAATTGTTCCCTTGATCATGGAGTGATGGAGAGGAGGGGGAGCAGCTCAGATCCCGTGGGGCAGGGCCTACACACTGCGATGCCCCCGGGTCTTTATTCTGTTTCTGCTCAGAGCATTTGGCTCTGACTGCTGGCCTCCCTTCCTATGCCCTGTCCCCATCCAGAAAGAACAAGCTGGAAACACAAGTGAGGTACAAGCTGCACCAACTGGCTCTTCCGAATACAGGTGACCAGGAGCTTCTGGAAAGATACTCTCACATACAGCTCTGGGGTCCAAATTGGAAGAAGATGCTGTGGCCCCAAGCTTCCTGCTCACAGCTGCCATTACAGCCAAAGCTCTATGCCAATTCCGGCTGATTTTTACACATGTGACGAGACATTGTGTGACTGTTCCCACCTCTTACAATAACCAAAACTGCTGATTAGTAAAGTCACCCCCATCCATGAGCCAATAAAGAGTTTTCAATTAAGACTTTAAATGTTCCACTATTGATTTCATGCAATGGCATGCTTGCCAAAAGGTTTGATTTGTCAATTACTGTCACTTTTTCAAAGAAACACAAACCTGGTACCCCAGGAACACAATGGGTAAAACAGTTATTTCACACACCCAGACCCATTCCTTGGAAAGTTAGCAAACACTAGCTGGGCAGACAAATTCTACCATACAGGAAAGCTTGAATCATGGGCTGCAGATGCTAGCCAGAGTCTCCCATGAGCCTCACTCATGTGCTCACATTCAGTGAGTCCATACTCAGCTGAGGTGCTGGAGGACAATAAGGCAAGGTTTTATATTTATGGACTGACCTCACAAGAGCACCCCAGTGTGAATCCCCCAGGAAGTGAACCGGGGGCTTGTGGAAGCCACTAGCAGCCGACTGTGTCCCTAACTTACTGACATGAATCTAACTGACCTGTCCAGGGTCATGAAATTGATGCCATCTGGAAATGGCAGATCCTTTGGTCATCAGGTGGGAGAGCCTGTGCCTTTCTGACACATCTACATCTCCTGTGTTCAAGTATACATCTCTTATGTGACTTTGGTTGGGCCTATGCTCTTTAAATGACTCCAGTTGGCTGTGCTACCAAAGGCTTTCCATTTGAGTATAGATCATAAACTGGCCACTGAAAACAATTCCTTTGTAGTCACAGGACAAAGGTGCTTCCTGAATACTCCATCACGCAGGTGCTCTGCTGAGCCTTACCTTAGGAAATGCGCCTCTCGGTGTCCAGCACAGACAGGAACAGACACTGTCCCCCTTCAGTGTTTTGGAAAGGGACTATTTGTAAACATACTTCTAACATAGAGACAACACTTTTATCCTGCAGTAGCTTTCTTAGAAGTGTAATGAGCCCGGCAAACCCATTTTAGGGTAAGTAGATGATGGATAACACAGTGACACTGGTTAACAGCCCAGAGCGGCAGAGAAGCAGGTTTGAAGAACGAGCGCACTCCCCACAGCCCAGGACCTAATAGAGATCTCCACTCATTCATCCATCTTTAGATTTTTCTGAACATAGTAATGACCACACACAGGCAATCCAAGAGCCATCCCATCACTGAGCGACTGACCGTGGGTACTTACGGGTTCTCCCAAGATGAATCACTCCAGTGCCCACCTTCCACAAAAATCACCACACAGCACCCCCCCAACTCCCCCCCCCCCATAGAGTTGGGGAAAAGAGCATACATACCTTCTGTGACAATGGTTGGCGGTTGCAAGACAATGTGCCTTTGGGCCACGCCTACAAGGTACGGCAGTAATTGCTCCTGGAGGTCCCCCAAACTATGGAATTCCGGGACAGTAAACACCAAGTTGTCATCAGTAGCTATGTGCTGAAGCTCTGCCCTGGAGGCGGCCTGGGCTCCGAGGCTGAACGAGAACACGCTAGCCTGCTTCAGAGCTACCACCCCATCCCGAATCTCATCACTAGAAGGCCCAGCACTGATGAGGACCAGCACCTGGGGGACCCCTTCCTCCACACGGCTGCCGCCTGCCCGAGTGAAGTGATTTTCCACTACAAAGTCAAGGGCCAGGCCAATGTTGGCCAACTCCCCCCCAGCAAAGCGGAGGGCCTTCACTGCATCCAGAAGCTGAGCTTTGGAGGGGTAGGTGTCTAAGGAGAACTCAGTTCTGGGCTCATCGCTATACTGGACCACCCCCACTCGGATCTGCTGAGTTCCAATTGAGAGTCTCTCAAGGAGATTTACAAGGAAGTCTCGAATGACAGCAAAATGGGCACTTCCGGTGTTGTTTGATCCGTCAATAAGGAAAATAATGTCAGCAGAGTCTTGTGCTTTAAAAGAAAGAAATGCAAAAAATGTGAAAGCGTTAGAACAAGTGACCACATGCATCATCCAGTGCTCTGACATGTTTCTTTGGAAACCAATAAGAAACACAAAATACGGACAGACAAAACAGTGTCGATGAAGGAATGTGGATTTTCTTAGTTCTGCATTCTGAGTGGATAAGAGGCAACTTCTTAGGCATTTACATCAAAGTTCCATCTGTGATACCTTCGTGGTTAAATTTCAAAACATCTTATTCCAAAGGAGAAATGTGGATTGAATAGTCTGAGATTTTCTACGCAATTTGGAAGGATGTGCGATTGCGATTGTGTTGGATTGTGCAATACCGACTGCAGGAGAAATTAGTAAGTTAACAAAAATTCAGAGTTCATTCCCAATTTGTGATCATCGCTCCTACCTCTTCAAGTGAGTATACTAATTTTTATGCAATCACGTAGCTTAGGAAACAGAACCCCAGGTGCATGGTCTAGTGGCTCACCAGCCCAGAAGGTTACTTAATTCCTAGTATAACTATTCTTTCTTCATTTTGTTTCTTGAAAATAAAAATGGCTGAGCACATGGAAGTTCATGAATCAAAACTCTGAATTTAAAGTTTTAATTTTAAAACTTAAAAAAAATTTTTTTTGATATGTTTGGGCTCAGTGTTTCTCACATGTGCTAGTGTGGAATCCAAGCACAGGTTTGGGATCAGACATGATGCATCATTTATTTTTACATTGCCTCTGTATTCAGTCAAATAATGCAGAACAAGGTTAAGCAGAGGGATACAAAACCAGTCATGACATAATTATCCAACTCCATTTTTATGACTTCCTAAGTGTACTGCCTAGCAGGACCTGCTGATAGACCTTTAGTCAGAGTTAGCTCTGGAGTCATACAAAGGACAGCAAGAAGACTGCAAAGATGTCTTTTTCTCTCCAGGATGGTGAACTCGAACCTTCTCTTCGTAAAGAATGGGAGCTACACAGAGCTATGGATTAAGAACAGCGGGAAGTCCACAAGCCCGGCCAGGGCAGTTTACAGGCTCCTCTAGAGCACTTAAGTAGCACTGATTTACACTAGGAGGAAAGAAAAATTACCCCAGCAAGTGTTTTAATAAGTTAAGGGGACAGGACCATATATATTCATATTCCAGGGTTCCAGAGAGCTATATTTGGGGCATAATTGTTATACTGTGATGTAAGACTATTCATTCTGATCTTTTGGTGCCAGTGGATGTTTTATACTTAAAATTAAATTTTCCCTGTGCTGCTGAAATTGTTTATATTCTCACTGGGGAAATGGGTATAGACTTCGTCTCATAAAATTGATGAGTTTTACTCCAGAGAAATGTTCTCATGCAAGCTTGCATTGTGCACGCTGGTGGGCAGTGCCAGGCTTAGAAGGGCTCTCTCTTCTCTAAGCACTTGAAAGTCCTTGACAACGTCCTCACAGACTAATTATTTGCATAGGGACAGGGAGTAACTTGGAAACACTGCTACCATGGTCCTCCCCTCAAGACACAATGAGGATAAGTGCTTTGCTCCAGTAATTAACATCTTCTTATATTTTTATTAATTGTCATATACAATTATCAAATAAGACTGGACCTTTGGTTTGAGCTCCAAAGAATTTACCACTCTTAATGGAGAATTCAAGACTTCCTGGAGGATCTTGTGAGGATGCAGAGCCAGGGGCTATTACATGGAGCATAAAGTGGCCCCCACCCTTTCGTAGGATACATCACAAACTCTTCAGTGTTTCCTCCTCATTAGTCTAAACCAGTGACCCCATGGGACATGGAAGGGCCTGTCACTTACATACCACATCTAAATATTTACAGGAGGGTTAACGATGATCAATATGTCCGACAACAAAAGACACGACTCCACCTTCCGTTACTCTCTGGCAGCAATTTCTCAGTTTAAATATGACAAAGAACTCTGAGGGGAGAGCCACAAGCATTTCTCTAAGAGACTGAACATCAACAGAAACAGGTCATAAAAAACGCTGGATAATTTGTCATCACTGAGTCAAAACACATGATCCTCTTACACAAACAGTTATGGGACACACAGAGCATGCTTTGTTATCTGGAAGAGCTCAAGCCTCGCAGAGACCCAGGAGCCCTGGGTTCTTGTGTGCAGCAAGGCCAACTCTAATTCCAAGAGAAATCAGATCTGCCTGAAATTTTAAAACTTGGAAGCTGCCTGGTTTTCTGTTTTTATGCCTCATGGGTCCCACCCACTGTGGCACATTCTCTCTAAAACTTTCAAGATGGCTGGGGAGAGCCCTAAGCTCCTTGGGCCTTCCTGAGCACCCGGGCGTAGACACAGTATTTTCTTAGTTTATGTCGCACTTCCCTTCACTGAGGAAATACGCTTTTGCCTCCTCTTTGAAACACAAAATTGTAGATACGTTTCACGAATTTTTAAGCCTTTATATTTTGTACCCCCAGAAAGAAAATTAATGTGGCGATCCTCAGATCGCCTTTGGTTTTCTTTTAGAATAAAGATCTCGTATCTCAGTTACACCTGCTTTCAAAAGGGTGACAAAGGTACTTTTCTAAAACGTGACCATTAGAGACTGATGACCTAAGCCTGTTCATTTAGAATGGTGGTGTTTATTAATGCCTTACACATACGGTGCTCTTGCTTCATAATCAAGAACACACTACAGGAATGAGACAGGTCAGGAGAAGAAAGGAGCCCAGCTCAGTAGTGAGCTTGAAAAGACCCTCCGAAATAGTAAGGGCTTACTATTTTGATTTTGTGTATTCATTTTATCTTATTCTATTCTTGCTGTGGAGCATGCAGTGGGACATGATACCAAAGGAATTACAGAGTGCAGTTAATTAGAGACGATGACAAACAGATCAAAACTCCACCCTGGTGCTGCTAGTGACTTGGACACTAGAAGACAGAGATGCTTTCTTGACATAAAAACAAAGGTTTTGTCATCTGTGCAGAAATAGGCAGCGTGGGTAGACTCGTTCACACTGGCTCTGGTCATTTAGTTTGGTCCATTTATATAATGGCTATGCATAAGGGAAAACTCATCTATTCTTGAGTTTGAATTTGCTGAGACATAAGCTTTAAAAATGTGCCACTCTCTACCAATCCCTTCATGTTCTTAATAACCCTGTCGTTACCCTATAGTCTGAAAGGTGATGAGCCATAGAACTATGGTGAGCAGAGATCATCCCAGGCTCCCTCTTATCCTTCCATTGGAAACTGGAATGTGTGATCCAGGCCCTTAGAATACACCCGCCTTCTTTTCCTATGACCCAGCAGGATGAGCACTTTCATCACAATGCTATAAAAGAGGCCTCTCATTTGGAAGCAGGGAACTCCTGGTGGGGCAATCTTGGAACTCGGCTGTCTTCTCTCCATCAAGCAGTAGACCCTGGTGAGGGCAACAGCTACCCCAACACTACAAGGCTGGAAGCCATGGGATGGACCATGTACAGAAGCACCTTGGGATGTGGGTACCCAAGCCTCACCTTCCATGACAGCTGGTTCCTTTCTGCTGACGCCCACCATCTCTCTCACCACCCGGCCACCTTCTGAATCCCTGTGATGAACACTTGTGTGGTATTGTTCTCCTACAACTGCCCGTTGCTCCGGTCCCAGTCCTGCCTTAAGATCCCTCACATGCGCATTTAGAGTGTATAACTCACGCCTCAAAGTCTCCACTGTCTGCTCCCCGACTCTTCAGCATCTTCACCAGCCATCTGGCCTCCTGCCTCCTGCCTCTGCCGTACTCTTGGTAGTCACAAATTCCACAGGTGGATGAGATAAAGCTGCCCACAAGTCTTGCTCTCTGGGTTGCTCCCTGGCCTCAGTGAATAAGTCCTAGCTGCATGTTCTCTCTCTCCCCAGTCAAGAACCAGCCACCACCCATGGTTCTCAGCTTTCCTGCTGTCTCCAGTCACATCCTGCTCAGCCTGAACCCACACTGCATACGTCATACTTGTCCAAAGAGGCTTTCGTGTTTGTACGCATGACCCTAGTGAGCACCACCCTCTCAGTGAGCACCACCCTCCAAGCCCTCCAGCCTCCTCATGCCTACATCCGTCTCTTTAGTGCTCTCACATATGCAGGGACTACCTTTCCAGCCTCATGTGCAAGGCCCCTAGCCCCACGACCCCAGATGCCTGCCCTCTATACACTGGCACTGGGCCCGTTACACACTCAGCTGCCTTGAGGGCTCCCCCTCTCCTAGAAGTCCCCTGCTCACTCTCCGTTCACTTGCTTCTCTGCCCAACCAGGACTCCATGGTGCACTGCTAGAGAGATCTTTTAGCTTCCACTCCGAATTTCTTCTCCCTATCATTACCTCTTTGAAAACTCCAAATTTGGACGGTCCTTTAAATCTGAAAGTACCTGAGGTGTCTGCAGCAAGCCAAGGTCCGTGACGGACACCGGCTGGCAACCTCTGACTCTGAACGGGAATCGCCGAGTCAGCAGTGGCATCCTAAGTGCTGCGTGAGCTCTCATCACATCCCTGCACCCATTGTTCCAAACAGCTCCAACCCCCTAGGCTCCCATGTACAGTGCTGCCCTCCTCTACCATCAGCTGTGTAGAGATAGCCAGACCCACTCCACCCACTTGGCTCCTGTCCCAACCACCTCAAGATGCAGCCCCCTTATGTTACCCTCTCTTAGTCTTGAGGACATGTTTCTCTCCCCTGGTTCCTCCCTAGCCCCACTCCCCGACACTGTCCTGAACTACCTCCTCTACACTGTCAGATGACTGCATGCACTTGTATTCTCTAGCACAACTGCCCTCACCCTGCCCATGACTGATGAGGAAGCCAGTCCTGGCCACTCAGCGATAAGCAGTAGAGTTTACAGTCTCCCTCCTTCTCTGTCCCCATCAGACTTTTGGCACTCACCACTGGAAGGAGAGCAGGTTTGATTGGTTAAACAACCCTCCGATCACTTGCCCACATCACTGTGCACTAACGCACTACGTGGCATCTAGGTCTATACCTCCGGGTTGGCCTTGGCAAGTGCATTAGCATCTGAAGACTGTTCATGGGCACAGTCACAGAGCACAAGAGACATACAACAGTGCAGACTCTGGGCTCAGCTCTGTGCTGCCCACCCTGTAGGACTCGATTTCTTCCAAATAGACTTGGACTAGATCATCCCTAAGGCTCCCTGCCCTCTGACTCTATCGGGTCTTTGAAATAAGTTCCACAGGACAGAAGGAAGGAGCGTTCTGCCACTCAGACACAAACGTGAGCACCCTGTTTTCCCTTACCTTGGTGTTTCCTGAGCCTCAGAGGCAGCCCTCTGCTCCTAGATGGAAGACCACCCATCTGAGACTGAGACGGGCTTTCTTTGTAGGGAAGGTAAACTCTTCTGGGGTCAGGTCAGAATATGGGTTGGAAAGTTAGAATGTTGGCTATTTTAGAAACAAAGGCCTGAGTCCTCTTGGGTGCAGGCAAAGGCTCTATTTTCAAGGACAGCAGAAGGGAGGTCAAACCTTTGTTTTTAAGCCTGAGAGCATCTCTTCCCTAAGCCCCCGGCATCTCTTAGCCACTACATTGCTTTAGGCCAGTATTTGCTAAGCTCATCACCACAGAACAGCAGGGCAGGGAGCAGTCTGGTAATGCAGCCGTTACCTGTGATGTCTTTAAGGTTTTCCGTGTCCCAGGCCCTTTCTGGACTCATGGAGGAGTGCACACAGGACACTAAGTTTTCTACTATGTCATGAAGTGAGGTAAAGTTCTCTAGGTTGAAAACATGCATACTGAACGGTTCACTCGCTATTTCTTTTAACGTTCCTTCATCTGCATCCTCAACTCCAACTGCAAACACGTTAACGTCAGCAGACTTAAGTTCCGTTGAGGGCAGAGCAAGGCTGTCTTCTGAGCGTCCATCGGTTAACACTATAATAACCTGAGGGACTCCGTCACCAGCCCGGCTTCCGGCAGCCTCGGTAAGATAGGTGTGAATTACATACTCTAATCCTTTTCCGGTCTCATTGCTTCCCCCAATAAAAGACATGTTGGAAATATGGACAAGGACTTCTTGCTTAGTGTGGTACGTATTTAACAGGAACTCGGTATGCGGGTTTCCGTTGAGCCGGACCAGAGCAAAATGGAAATCACTGTCTCCCACAGCTAAAGATTCTACAACATCAGACAGAAACTCTTGAACAAGTTGGAAACGGTCCTTCCCAGTGCTCCAGGAGGAATCCACTAGAAATATTATATCGGCAGCCGCACCGTTTTTGACATCTTTAAAAAAAGGGACATTTGTTTAGACGTTTCTACAGGTTCAGCAACAGTTTCCTATTACTGCAAACCCTTCCTAAGCAAAGCTGATGCCGTGCTGATGCTAAGTAATTCCAACCTCACCTGCAGCGAGGGCAGGGAGGAGGGAAGGCAGGGAGGAGGGAAGGCAGGGAGGAGGAGGACTTACCAATGGAGCGAGGCCAAGCCTCAGGACTCAGCAGCTACAACACCCAGGAATTACCCAAGTTCCATACTGAGTGACCCCCCCAGTTAGGGGCCAGCAGAATGTTCCAGAATGGGAGACGGTTCTCTGGGCATCTTTGAAATGATTTGACTGTGTCTGGCAATATGAGCCATTACATCCATCTGAACAGACCAAAGATCTCTCTTGTCACCCGTAAACAGTCACCCTTTGGCACCTCTTCAATGGGAGGCAGAAAGTAGCCCTGACAGGAGGATGTGGAGACTGCTGCTGTTCACGTGAACTCACCCTCGGGGTTTTGGGATGCTTGCAAGAAACATATATGTGGTAAGTAGATCGCTAAGTAAGAAAATTTAGAAGGAGGGAAAGTCTCATTTTTCTCAAACATGACGAAAGACTAACTGCATGTTTTCCAGAGCAGAAAAGCCTTCACAGACTCGGTCCACAGATGAGTACAGTGCTCTCTTGGTGTAGAACCCCAGGTTAGCAGGCTATGTGGGGCCCTGTGAGGAGTCCCTCAGCAGCTACGGTCAGGCTGGCCCCTGGATTCCACTTACCTCAGGCTGACCTGAGGCCCGAAGCTGCTGTTCTTCCACTGAGGAACGCTGGCTTCCCCTCCCCCTAAGGAACCCAGCCAGCTGGGGAGCCCTGTTACAGGCACAGCTCCCCAGGCAAGTGACAGGGAGGCCCCTTCCAGTCCTCCAGTTTCAATACCCAGAGTTCTGCTTGCTCTCCTGAAACCCTGAAAGTGGATTCCTAACAGGAGTATTAGGATCCGTTATTTAATATAGTTGAGGGAAGCAACTTTTTTAAAGGTCTGGTGATTTCCACATGAAAAGCGTCTTTCTGTGCCTAGAGTTAGAGAGAGGGGGTGGTTGTCCATTCCCTGCAAAACAGTGCCAGGATGGTGGAAAAGTCTTTCGACGGCGAGCTTCATGGCTGGGCTCATACCCAATGTGAAAACACTTCCCTTCCAAACCAACTCCAAGATCTGAAGCTCAAGTTTTAACAAAGATAAGTCACCCCTCCCAGACACGTGCCTGAAAGGCCTGTGAAGTCCTGTGCCCTACGGCTCGGGGCTGCGCTGTCTGTGTGTTTCTAGGCTCCACATCAAGCCCTGATGTCTGAGATCTAGAATTAAAGAACGCCAGTCTTTATACGAAATGAAACCTTACCTGCTTGCTGTTGGGCATAGACCATGGGGAGGCCCGACAGGAGGAGGCAAAAGATGGCCACCGAGGCCAAATGTCGACGTTTCCTCATTTTGAATGTCAAAGCACCGAGTGTGAACCTAAAAGACAGGAGGCAGAGAGGAGGCTCAGCTTTTCATTCCGCGTTGCATTCAGTGCCCTAACCACCGAGGCATCTCTCGAGCTCTTGGTCTGTTTCCTTAATGGACCGTCAGAGGAATTTCACTATAATCTGGAAATACTCTCTTTGCTCACATTACTAAGTAAAGAACTGAAGTGTGTCCCTCTTATACGCTTGTGAGAATATTTTCATCTCATGACTGTATTAATTCAGCCACAGTTAAGAGCTGTATGACTAAACCTTCCTTTTCTCCCAAAGTGACACAGGCAGTGATTTAGAGGACGCATGATCCCAAGCAAATGCAGATGACCTGATGAAAAAGACTTGGGAACAGAGCGGCTCGTGGGCACAGAGGGTGACAGGAGTGGGCTTGTGGAGGAAAGCTCCCCTGCGTGATGGGAACAGGCCCTGCCCCATTCACAGTATGAACGAAGCCAGCCGCCGCTGGGACCGTTTCCAACCCTGTCTTCCTGTCCTGCCAGCCAGCACTACCTTGCTGCAAGCCAGCCTCCAGTCTCATCACTGTGGAGCAAACCCAGGGAGATGTGATTAGCATGACCGTGAAGCCACATGACCATGAAGCCAGCTAACTACTGGTCCCACAGTTCCTGCCACGCACCAGGTGGTGGCTGCAATGTGACTACCAGGCAGACAAGTTCAGGTTCACAGATACTCTATAGTCCACGTCATCAAGGTTACCAACACCTTCCCTTCCCCCTCGAGGCTTCACATCAGCTTCCTCATCTTCCTCTCTCTAATCCAATGAGATCATCCTGGGGCTGAGGCCTTCCTAAGACCCCTCCAGTGAGCTGCTTAGATGGCTTCTGCATAGGCTGAGGTCTCCTTGCCAGAACAATCGCTCCTCCCACCTCCCCCTGGTCTGAGGTACTAGTTTCTGCCAGTGGGGACCACAGCCTTTGGTGGTAGAACTCACCACCTCCCAGTAACCAAGTGAGAAGCTAGAAGGCCCAGATGAGCTAAGTTTCTCCACAGAGGCCAGGGGAGAGACCAGAGGCAGCCGTGCCGTCAGCGCGAACTTCTATGCATTAATTCAAATTCTCGCTTATTTTTCTTTTGTACTGAGTTTGAGAACATACTGTTTGATATTGGCAATCAAATAAAATATACTGTGATTAAAGAGAAAGGCCGGTTTGGTTTAAAAAATTAAAATTCATTTAATCTGGGAAAATTGGACTAACACCATAATTTAACTTATGTGTCATTGTTAGGTTTTTAAATTTCAAAAGAGGACTGGAGAGATGGCTCAGAGGTTAAGAGTACTAGCTACTCTTGCAGAGGAGGACCCAGGTTTGATTCCCAGCACCCACATGGTAGCTAACAACTGTTCGTAACTCCAGTTCCAGGGGACCCAACACCCTCTGACCTCCACAGGCATTGCAAAACACAGGTGCACTTATATATATGCAGGCAATACACTCAAACACATAAACTAAAAATAATAAAATAAAGTTCAAAAGAAGTCTTTCAAGTGAATTAAAGGAGCTAAAGGCATTTCAGCATCAGTGTAAATGATAATTACATGTGTCTCCTTCCATCAGACCCCTGTCTTTCTGTCTCTGGATTACAAGTATATGAAAGATTTTTTTTAATACGGTTTTTTAAATCTTATCATACTAAAAATCCAAATACTTCTAAATTGTCTTTACATCCTGTCTCAGAAATGGTTTGGCTCTGCCTGAGGGAGACAGGGGAAATGAGAACAAATTGGACGTGTGAAGTGGTTCACACAACAACCCACCACTGCACAGTTCGAAAAACTGACTAGACTCCTCAGGACCTGGAAGGTTAGGGCCAGGAGCAGGTCAAGAAGTCAAATAAGCCGGTGTGGTAGCACAATCTTTATCCTGGCACTCAGGAGCACAGGAAAGTGGATCTCTATGAGATCGAGGCCAGTCTGGTCTACATAACGAGTTCCAAGCCAGCTGGGGCTACAGGGAGACCCTGTCTCAAAAAGACCAAAAGAAAAAAAAGGCTAGTAACCTGAATAATCAGATAAATTTTTATCATGACTGAATTAAGAAAAATAAAAACTCTGAACCGATATAACCACTGTGAAATTTCAATCAGAAATCACCTCCCCCAAGTAAAGCTTAGGAATAAGTGGCTTCAATAGAGAAGTCTATCAAATGTTTAAAGAATGAACATCCACTCTTCTCAAACTCCTCCCAGTAAGTTAAAGAAGAAGAGGCGACACCTCCAAGCTCACCTTAGAGGGCCAGCGTCACCTTGAAACGTGAATGGAAAAAAAACAAACACCAGAAAGAAAGTTACAGTCAATGTCCCTGACTAACACGGACGCAGACATTCTCAACCAGACTCTGGAAAACCAAGTTCAAAACAGTGTTTAAATGATTATGCACCATTACTGTGGGGTGTATTCTTGGAATGCAAGCATGGTTCAAAGTGTTAAAAAAATCAAGACAGTATACCACATTAACACAATGACAGGGGAAAACTACATAACTGTCATGCATCTGAGAAAATTCAACCTATTTTTATGATGAAAGTAAATCAATCAATCACTCGACCATCTCAAAATGGGAAGGAAACCTCTATGCAATAAAGGCCATGTCAGAAACCCACACCCACAGTGTACTCACTGATTCAAAACCTGGTTGGGGGCAGAGCTCAGTGACCACCTTGCCTAGCAGGTGATTCCACCCAGCACAAGAAAAAGAGGTAGTGGGAACTGAAAGTTTCTCTCACAACTTCTGGTCGGCAGAAGGCAGCAAGTCCAAGCCAAAGCAATTGGGCAAGGAAAGGGAACGCAGCTTGGAGTGGAAGAAGTCAAGTGACTTCTGTCCGCAGAGGGCATAACGTTATGCAACTGAAAGCACAACTTACAGAAGAAAACGTTTGCAAATCAAATACCTGACAAAGGGTTAATAGCTAACAACAAAAAGAGTATATTTAAATGATCACAGAGGTCACGGGTGGACAGTTCTCAAAGGAGACATGCGGATCGCTAATAAATGGGGAAATGACGAGAATGGGGAGCATAAAGGCCAGACAGCTTAGGGAAAAACCCAAAGAAAAGTATCAGCTTCTCTTGGCTGAAAGCCAGAAGTGTCCTTGAGCCTCTCGGCAGCCTCGTCCTTACCAGAGACCAGAGACATCAAAAGTGTTTCAGGGCTCCGATCCCCAATCTGGTTCCTAAGTGATCTTAGGGTCACCTCTTCAGAGGAGGGAATGTTAGACTAGCAATAAAGGCCCATTAAGGGGAAATTCCTTCTGGTCAGTCACCTGGCCACAGGACCACCCCTAGGTGGCTCACCTTGAGCCGTGCAAAGAAATGAACAGAATAGTCAATGCTTTAATGAGATACACTTTTCCTGCCCAGAATCCATGTCCATAGCACAGGACGTCACCAGGCCATGCTGCATAGCTTCACAAGTCTGCCTACTTTTCTGAATTCAGAAAATCATTAGCACCCCTCATAGCTTCCAAGACGTAGAAACAATTCAAATATCCATTAACAGATTGACGAAAGAAATGTAGCGTGTCCGTGCAGTGGAATACCGTTAAGCCTGGAAAGATACCCTGCCATATACTACATCACGGGTGAACCCTGAGGACAGGACGCTGATAGCCAGCACAGTGAAACAAAGAGTGCGGAGCCCCATCACCTGAGAGGTCTGAAACAGCAGAAAGGACAGTGGCTGCAGGGACGCGGGAAGGCGATGATGCTCAATGGATAGAGCAGCTTTTGCAAAACCAAAAGGTATTCAAGGTGCACACAGCCAAGGCCTCCACTCTGCACACCTACAGGTGGCAAAGACGGTAAATTTCACGTATTTTTGCCACAACGAAACATATAAATACATAAGAAAATATGAGGACAGTAAATATCACTGCCAGCTTTTATTATATTTATTCATTTTTGGAGGGGCACACGGAGGTCAGAGGACAACTTGCAGGGGTCAGTTCTGTTCTTCCACCATGTGGGTCCCAGGAATCCAAGTCAAGTCATCAAGATTAGTATGACCTCTGCGGCATTGCACGACACGGGTGCACTCACATACATGCAGACAATACACTCATACACATAAAATAAAAATAATAAATAAAATATCTTTTTTAAAAGAAAAGTACCTTTACCTGCTGAGCCATCTCACAGGTCCCGATGACAGTTCTTAAAAGCATAAGTAAGTATGCACCCTAAAATCAGCCATTCAGTTAATAGAAATGACATAAAAATGTGGCAGATTTTTGAGGTGTGATAGAGTTTGAATCCCAAAAGCAAAACAATGTTTGTGTCCCAGTATTTAAAAACATAGTGCTGATTCCTGCTTCTGTATAATATCTGAAAAGGCAGAGAAGTACGTGGAAACAAAATGATCAGGGTTTGGAGAGGAGAGACATGTGTCTTATACCACTAAGAATCTGGCATAATCGTTCACACTGGGTGCAAGGGCCACCTCTGCCCTGACTACATGGTGCAGGCTCTGGCTAAGGCTAAAGACTAAACTTTTCTATCCGAGCCCGACCCTCCTCCTGCACAGGCTCCCCTCAGACCCTGTGGTTCATTCATGGCTACCTGTCATATGGTGCAAGCGTTCCATTTCCCCTCACAGTAAGAAAGCCCCACCTAAGGATGGCATGGCAACTCCAAACTTACAACCAGGAGACAGATGTTGGAGAGCAGTCTGGCCAGCTGCCTAGCAATGTGGCTATGCCATGAATGAGGAGATTGGTCACTTAGCAAAGCAGCAGAGGGGATTAAGGGAGAAAAGTGCCTTTCTGAGACTGACACCCAAGGACAGAGCAAAGCGGTCACACAAAACACCTGAAGTTCGTCCATAGATTTACCACTGAGCCTTCTGCCAGGGACAGGCCCAGCCATGAGCAAAATAGGACACTGAGCACAGGCTGAGGTATGGCCTGCTGGAAGAGAAAACCGGACTCCAGAGGATTGGTTCTTAGCTCCATCATGGATTTGGGTGTCTAAGGAGAGTCAAC